CCCCCCCCCCCCCCCCCCAAAAAAAAAAAAAAAAATTATAATAGATGGCTTAAAACAGAGGATGCACACAAGAAATGCCCCGACCGAAAACAAATTTCAGCTCTCTTGAGACAAATCGCGCCGAAGAATTGCTCATACCCAAGCTCATACCCAAGTTCATACCCATGCTCAGTTTCCCCCGACCCCTCGGGTCGATCCCCGCGTTAAATCCGGAAACGGACCGAGGGAAGGAGATTTTTTCCCTCGGAAGAGAATGAGACGTTTGACAGCTGCGCGGCGGGGCGTCCATTAAGCCGTCCCGTTCCGCCCTCCATTGTCCACCTTCGATCGGGGCTGTTGCGTCCGGGGCAATTGCATCCAGGGCAATTATGCGTCCGGGGCAATTATGCGTTCGAGGGGTTCCCACGTGCGCGGGATCCGGGCCTGCATTGTCTTCGGTTCCGTCGCTTTCGTTCTGCCACGTCACGCTGGATTCCATCCGTTCATTAAAATTCCATACGTTTGTGGGGAAAAAAAAGTGTTTTTTTTTTTGTGCAAACTTTTGCAAATGCGCTCGCAAGTATTGAAAGGAGTCCGAATTGCCTACCTGAAACTAGTGAACTGACTGACGTTTAAAAAATAAAGTTTAATTAAGCCCTGACGGATTCAACCAGAACCTCTCTGGTAAACGAAACCTGCCATGCTAAAAAAATTATAGTAATGATAAGGGAAGGTTCATCACTGAAATAGAAAAGCAGGCCGGCAGGATATGCATTTTAAATGCATGTAACACATAATAATAATAATAAATATGGGGGGGGGGGGGGTCAGGTGAAAGGATTTCTTCAAAGCAGCATCGCAAAAAATGCTCAAATGAGCCTTATTTAATATAACTCCCCAACAGAAGGAGGTAACTGGAGAATTGCGACACCGAACTCCCATCAAAGAAGCTGAGAAATGTCCGGCGGAGCAGTTGCGGGCGGAGATGGAAAACTTGGAAACAAATTAGAAGCAAATTCTTCCGTTCGCAAAGAATCCGCAAAAGTTAACAAGAGGCTGGTGGTATTTAAATGAATATATACAATATATATACCTTTGAGAGCAAGAGGGACGGAGAGGCAACGCGAGTGGGAAGGAGCACAGGAGAGAACTGGCACGCACACGCGCACACGCACGCACGCACGCGCACACCGCACGCACAAAAAACCGCCCGAATGCCCCTCCTCTTATATAAAAAAAAAGAAGAAAATAGTGAGGATTGTGGAGATCTTTGCCGGTCGAGTTGGCACGCCTTCGCTTCGCCGATTCGCGTGTGAAATTTTTTTGGCACAACGGTCTTGTCTCCCCGAAGGCCAACGACCTTCTTTGTGCGAAACGGGAGCGGGGCTGACCCTTCACCTCGGCGGCGTGATTCGCCCGCGCGTCCCCGGCGTGAGCTTCTCGGGCTGCGATCCCTGGCATGATCGATGGGCTCGGCGAAGATCCGGAAGAAACAACTTTCGTTCCGGACGTTTGAATTGTAGATCTGGACGCGCGCGGCGTGAAGTGTGGCGTGAAGCGCGGCGTGAATTTCATTTTCCTTTCCAGGGTTGAAGCCTTTCGAAAGAGCGTCCCTTTCGCAACCCTGCCTTCGATCGAAGCCTCAATTATCGCGGGACCTTTACGTATCCCGAGCAATTCATCATAGTTTCTTACGTTGACGCTGTGTCGCAATTATCGTCCAATTATTCATCCAAATACTCAATCAGTGGCATGATCGATCGATAAGGAATCCAAGAGCGAATTTAAACTTCGTACGATGAAATCTATGCATTTCGATTCCGCTCGACTAGCACGAGGGTGACTGGTACGAAGGGTTACTGGCACGAGGGGTAACGCCGGGTAACGTAACGTCTTATTCCCTCACCCACGCAACCCTTCTCGGAGAAATATTTATCAAAGGCATCATGCAGAGATTTATGATCTTCGGTGTGATTCACGGTTTTCGGTCCGGTGGGCCCAGACTTCCAGCGGTGGACCAGCGGTGGGTCCGTCGTTCGGTCCAGCGGCTTCGAAGACGCTCGAAACTTCCGCGTGTCTCGTCCCGAATCTTTCCCACGATCGTTAGAAGCGTCACCCGAGGAAACGTCTTTTTCAGGGAGAAAAAAAAAGGGGGTTGTTCCAACGGATCCTCGACCAGGATCGCAGATGTCCGGATCGCGGATGCCCTGACGTAACGTCGTCCGCCCACGACCTTCTTCGCATCGTTGCCTTTTGCGGTAATTGCGGTAATTGCGATTCCCAATTTATTTCATTCGCTGACCAGTCTTCAATTATCATGCACAAGTTGGACTAGATGCTCTAAGACAGCGGTTCCCAAACTGTGGGTCGCGAACATTTTTCCAGTGTAAAAAATCACTATATCCGCATCCACTTAGGATAAAACATGCCCTGCAGAAAAGGTCGATTCTGGATTTCGTTCTGGATTCCGCTGGGTCGCGATTCAAAGAAGTCTGGGAACCGCTGCTCTAAGAATGCTTCAAGAACACTCCGAGACAGCGGCTCTCGACCTTTAATATCATCTCTTGACCGGTCAAATTTCAGGAACGCCAGAGGACAAGGAAATGCATAGATTTACTCTGAAAAACTTAATTTTATAAATAAAATTTAAAAAACTTTTTTTTTATCTCCCAGTTCGCAGATTGTCTCGCGGCCAGGCAGAATGCCTACGTGGGACCGGTGGTTAAGAAATGCCGCTCTCGATGAGACCATCTGGGAAGCAGCTTCGCAAGGCCCGGTTGAACTG